GATGAATTATGGTATGAAACGACTGAAATTTAAAAACAAATTCTCTGTTTCGTTAATTTTTTGGGATATGGAATTTCGAGACAAAGAAGACTAGTTTTACAGAAATTTTATTTGAAAAAATATGACAAAGTAGGTTGGTTTTATTTATTAACGATGAATTATGGTATGAAACGACTGAAATTTAAAAACAAATTCTCTGTTTCGTTAATTTTTTGGGATATGAAATTTCGAGACAAAGAAGACTCTAGCCTTACAGAAATTTTATTTGAAAAAATATGACAAAGTAGGTTGGTTTTATTTATTAACGATGAATTATGGTATGAAACGACTGAAACTTAAAAGAACTTAAAATAGTCCCAGAATGAAACTTGCGAAACCAAAAAGAATAAAAGTTTCAAAACTAAAAACTGAAAATAGTCCCACTATGAAGCTTCCAAAAATAAGCCTAAGTTAGTTCGGTTTTATCTCAATATTTCAAGGCGGGATAAAAAATATCCCACTGTGCACACATGCACTACCGGCTAAAAGTTTTGAGCATTGCAATTTACAGAAAAATTTGCAGAAAAAAGTCAGCGACTTTGAGAATTTTTTATCGTTCGAATTAATTGATACGAGATAAATTGATAAATGTAGAATTGAGATAAACTTCGAATCTATAAAAAATTAACAGCTGATTTAATATCGATGAAAAGTGGGAGATGATTCCAAACTTTTGGCCGGTAGTGTAAGTACCGAAAAGCCTGAAAACTTTTTATCTCACAATGCCCCAAAGCGATAAGATTGTTCTCGTTCACTGTTCGATTGTATTTCTAGATAAAATACACGAAAAGAAATAATGAAAATTGTATCGTAGAAGTTGAGACGTTCGGTTGAGAGAAAATAAGCGAGTTGGGGTTGAATGGACGATGTTAATGAATCGTAATACAACGCGGCCGAGTCTAACGGTATTTCGAGTACGGTCGTCGATCCATGGCTGATCTTGATCTTCCTCCCCTCCTTGTTGATCTTCGCGCCAGCGGAGGAAAGAGGATCGAGAGAGCTCACGATCATCACGACTGGCCGCGTACTTGAGACGGCCTCGTTAGATCTGCCGTTTGTCAAATCCTCACCGTCTTCAAACCGGTTCTTTATTCGTGAATTTCGGGTGATTTATTTTACTACAAGCTTTTTAATTCCTACACGCTAGTTCCACCGTTTCGACTATTATACCGTTTTAGACAAGTTCATTAAGTGTTTAACGACCATGTTTGACGAAATAATTAAATAACCGTTAGCGATGATTAGACTGCGGATTTTCATAGGGAATTTAAAGGTACAAAATTGCACACAATACACGTAATACGAGAAAATACACAAAGTATCCAAATTATAGTGCTTTTTATAATATACGGTAGATGAAATAATTTTTCACCAAAGTTCTACTTTCTTTGCTGTATTCTCAAAAATATAAATTTGCATAAAAATTCCGCAGTCTAGCAATGATGGATCATGTTTCACAGATATTTTGGACGATCTTGAAGATGTCGAATACTATGATAATATGTAAAGAGTAATATTTAGTAATATTTATCTAAGTAACGATAAATGAAAGTTAAATTCTGTAATAATTAAATGCCGCTGAAATTGGGAACAGTGCAGAAAATTTCTTTTCTGGAAAGTTATATTGTCCATGACGTTATGAGCATATTTTATGTGAAATGATTCTCCGACAGTAGATAGTAGCAATTTTCCGGAATTATTGAAAACCCCAGGGGAAATTTTTCATCATACTTATTTCCTTCGGGCAGACCCCTTCCACAGAACATTTGCATAAACTCGTAAAGCAACGGAGATATTTAAATATTCCCGTCTGTATTCCCTATCTTCGCTAATAATTCGAGGGTATGAAAATTTCATTGTCGCGAGTGGGCACACATGTTTACCGAACGAATAACACGGATTAAATATTATAGTCTCTCGGAATGATCCAAAAGGTACAATCTGTAGTCGTATGTGAAAATTTGTGGTAAAAGAAGACTCAATTGAACTGATTCGTTTATTCGATAATTACTGAAAATCGATACTGTTTTCGTAAATTGCTGTCCTGCAGTCATGTTTGAGGAATATTGTCGTAATTGACTCCGGTTTCTATTAACCTTTTTACTGCTGTTGGCGCCTACAGGCAGTATGAATATGTGTTCGCGCCGGGTCTTTGGCGCCTATAGGCGTTTCGAATACTTACTCGCCCTGTGCCCTTGGATATCTATAGTCGGTCTGAAAATTTTTTGCACTGTGGCGCTGGCGCCAATTTAATGCTTAATTTTTGTCCTTTGTGTACTTGCATCTCGATTTTTAAAACGATAAATTTGGAAAATTTAGAAACGATAGATTTGGAAAATTTAGAAGCGATAGATTTGGAAAATTTTGAAACGATAGATTTGGAAAATTTAGAAACGATAGATTTGGAAAATTTAGAAATGATAGATTTAGAAACGATAGATTTGAAAAATTTAGAAACGATAGATTTGGAAAATTTAAAAGCGATAGATTTAAAAAATTTAGAAGCGATATATTTGGAAAATTTGAAAACGATAGATTTAAAAAACTGAGAAACGATAAATTTGGAAAATTTAGAAACGATAGATTTGGAAAATTTGAAAACGATAACTTTGGAAAATTTAGAAACGATAGATTTGGAAAATTTAGAAACGATAAATTTGGAAAATTTAGAAATGATAGATTTAGAAACGATAGATTTGAAATATTTAGAAACGATAGATTTAGAAAATTTGAAAACGATAAATTTAGAAAATTGAGAAACGATAAATTTGAAAAATTTTAAAAATTCAAAAACGCCAGAACAAAGATTTTACGCTCGCGACTGAACACCCGCCGTCTGCCCTGATTGTCACGTACTGAAATCCACCGCAGCGAAAGGGTTAAACACAGAGGCTGGAAATGATCTATGGGCATTTTTAAACCTTCGTCGCAGGTAGGAAACAAACCTTGGCCTCCTTCTGGGAGGTTACTTTTTCTGATAACCCGAGATTATATTCGGCTGCAACCAATTTAATTACACACCTTAATTGGAATAACGATGATTACCTTTACGTACAAGCGGAAGCTACAGTAGTTGTATCTGCCCACTCTGAGAATATTACGGTATGACGATCGTGTTGTATTATTAAATGACAACGTGTCACTTGCTGTTATTTTTAATGGAACGAATAGATAGACGAAGGCGTTCTGGCACAACGTTGTGTGATAAAAATACAGCTTCGATCGATCCTTTTTGATATAGAAACAAAGGGGGTAATTGCGTATTCATCCTTGATGACGTAAAAATAACCCGATCCGAGACAAGACACACACACACAAACACACACTTGGTGATATAATTTAATATCACAGGGTAATTTCGAGAAAACGTTCTTTGTCGGATCGAGTCACGGAAATTGCGAAGCTTTGCTAAACGGTTAAACGGCTCTGGTCAGAAACGTATGATCTCATAGGTACCCTCTTACGTTATAGTACAGTTGTTGGGAATTATACGCGCCGGTTAACAGGCTTGAGAATTATACGAGTAAAAGTAAATTTAAATGTGGAAGGCAGTGCTTGACTTTCACACATGCATGTATTAAGGTCTTTCGTGTACACTGCACAGAGTGCTCTGAAAAAGAGGGATGGCGAATGTATGTATCTACAGCTGTTGCAACGTTTAAGTAAATACGCGAAAAATTTGATTATCTTACGCGTAATTATTAGTTTTACTTCACACATTGTAATGTTTAAATGTAAATTTGACAAAAGTTTAGAAATTTCGATTGAATACAAATTTAATTTTACGTGAGAAAAGGTAATTCTTAATGTAAAGTGAATTACTTTTGTCGGGATTGATCGTTTAATTTTTTAAAATACCTTTTAAACGAATAAAGAATATTCTGAAATAAATTAAAGAGGAATGTTAGTATTTATTTCACGTGCAAAAGGTAATTCGTAATTCAGAGTGAATTACTTTTGTCGGGATTCATTGTTTAATTTTTCAAAATACCTTTTAAATGAATAAAGAATATTCTGAAATGAATTAAAGAGAAAAGGTAGTATTTATTTCACGTGCAAAAGGTAATTCAAAATTCAAAGAGTTACTTTTATCGGGATTCATTGTTTAATTTTTTTAAATACCTTTTAAGTGAATAAAGAATATTCTGAAATGAATTAAAGAAGAAAGTTAGTATTTATTTCACGTGCAAAAGGTAATTCGTAATTCAGAGTGAATTACTTTTATCGGGATTCATTGTTTAATTTTTTTAAATACCTTTTAAATGAATAAAGAATATTCTGAAATGAATGTAAGAGAAAAGTTAGTATTTATTTCACGTGCAAAAGGTAATTCGTAATTCAGAGTGAATTACTTTTGTCGGGATTCATTGTTTAATTTTTCAAAATACCTTTTAAATGAATAAAGAATATTCTGAAATGAATTAAAGAGAAAAGGTAGTATTTATTTCACGTGCAAAAGGTAATTCGTAATTCAGAGTGAATTACTTTTATTGGGATTGGTCGTTTAATTTTTCAAAATACTTTTTAAATGAATAAAAATTATTGGAATAAAGAATATTCTGAAAAGAATGTAAGAGGAAAGTTAGTATTTATTTCACGTGCAAAAGGTAATTCGTAATTAAAGGTATAAAGTTGCTCCACCTAAGTTAGAAAATTCTTCAGATACAATGGACGCCTTGCTTCGAAAATATCAATTTTTACGTTCGAAAGAATTTTCCTTTACATCGACCTACTTTTGTCAGCACTCACTGTTCAATATATTTAAATATCTTTTAAATAAACAAAACTGACTCCAACAAAGAATATTCCAAGAAAAGAATCAAAGAGAAAATCGACCTCAAAAGAAGAAATAAAAAATTCTTTTAACGATCCGATTGTACATTTCAGCAAAATAGCGGCAATCTCTTTCGGTGACCTTTTGGTTATTGTGTAATCCGATACCTGTTCTCTATTATTGCAGAATGGCGCGGAGATTTTCGTGGTGCACGGCGGTGGCATTGGTGGTGCTGCTTTTCGTCACAACCGAAGGTCTTCGTGAACGTAACGCTCAGGTAAGTGAAGAACTTAAAAAAGAAAAGAGCCAACTGTACATTTAGATTCGAGCAAAAAATAAATTATTTAATACACTTTGAACGTGTTTGAGCTATTTTTATTTTCTAATTTCACACTCGTTAACGACGTCGTTAAGATGTGTGAAATTATGCAATAATGCATTATCTACTTCCCAAGGATTGTTTTTTTTTTACGATCTTGCTGGTTGAATCATGAAACAAATACAAAGGGTACTATCGACGATTTTTTTCAAAGGAATTATTACACTTATATTTCTTATCGAATATGTTTATAAACGACTTAGCGTTTCGTCACTTTCAAATAAAGATATTTAGCTGGTCTCGCGAGGTCTTAAATTATTCTGAAAGTAGGTTTACACTGACTTTCAATTTTGCCATTTAAATATCACTAATCTGGCTCGATGGCTAAGATATTCACTTGAAATTAACTTTTAAAGTATATTATCCTTTTGTAGGACGTTAAATATTTTTAAATTACCAATTCGTCACATAATTTCGTCAAATTACCGATGCTTCTTTAATATTTCACATTTACTTTTCTTCGCAAAATTTTTATTCCATTTAAACGCAGAAAAAAGAAACGAAACGAAAACTTTACGCCATTAAGTGCTAACTTTCAGCATTTAAGTTACATTATCCTTTGGAGGATTTAGGACATTTATCAACGTTCGAGGATTCCATAGTGATTCTAACAAAGGAAAAAAACGAAACGAAAATCTTACGCCATTAAGTGCTAACTTTCAGCATTTAAGTTAAATTATCCTTTGGAGGATTTAGGACATTTATCAACGTTCGAAGATTCTCCAGCCATCCTAAAATTTCTCGGAGAAACGAAGAAGTTCAGAAAATTCTCAGTCATTTTCCCAGATTGATATATTTACCCGTACCTTTCCAGCACCGCGATTTTTCCCTTCGAAACGCGATTCAAGAGTACGCAAATTTCGTGTCAAGGATACCGCGTATTCTTTTTCTTCTTCTTCGTATTTCCTTTTTGCCTCGAAGGCTACCGCGCTACTGGAACGGTTTAATCCTTATAGTTTGAACATGTCTCCGTGATCGAACCTGCATAACGCTAATTAAGAATCGAGGAAGTGAGTTATTTTGTTAGGATGCCTCCTCCGCGATAACTGTACTCCGAAAGGGAAAATCCTCGTTGATTTTATCGTCGACAACGTGACACGTTTCCTTTCTTCCTGTCGTTAAGTCCACTCCCATCTTCAACCTGACTCGTTTCGTTGCTCCGCGCGAATCTCTTCTACCTGTGCAGCGTTAATTTATTCGTGTCATGCGACGCAGCAGGTATATTCGACGTGAATAAGCCGTTATAACACAGCTGATCTACCTACTTACACACGGACAGAAACACGTTTGTGAAACGGTTAAATCGCGATCTGAAATTAACAGTTTTCACCGTGGCCAACTCGCAATTTAGAAATTATTCGACGAGGGAAAAAAAGAACGATCTGGACTGTTTGGAAGCGGCACAGACGAAGAAGAAAAAAGAAAAATTGTAATAGAAAAAGAAATTAATTGCGTTACTTGGGAGTTAGAAACGTTCGTTTCACGATAGAAAGTAACTGGAATCGGTGAATTTACTTTCCATGAAATGAACGTTAATGGGGCATCGATTCTTTTTCAGTCTTGCTCCCTTAGGGGCAAGATCAGTCGCGATGCATCTTTGATAGCAGTTTTGCCTTTATTTATAGGTATCGATTTAGTAATTTGGCCCAAATTTTTGGTGTTCTTGCGTCGTTGAATTATTTCGAACTTGGGGGTCGAGCTTTGAAAATGAGTAAATGTTGTGTTTATAGTTTGATAAAATTGAAGGTTTATTCGCGTCGTTATGTCAGATGTTTCTAATGAAAATTTTAGTCGAAGCGAAGTATACACAGACGGATTGTATAAGTAATGTAGAAAGTAATAGCGTTCTGACTTACAAAGTGGTATAATGGTTGTGTAAAATTTGCACGTAACTCGTGTCTATCCTATGTGGAATATTACGGAACGTTCGCTGAAAATTGCAGTGCGAAGTTGAAATTTGTACTTTAGTCGATATCGAAGATTAATTGATTTTCATTGAACAGTACATTTTTCATACTTCTCATATTTACAAATTTTTCGTGTTAATATATTTAGCAATTTTTCATTTGAAAGGATGTTAAATTTTCGTTTGAATGCAGATTAATTTATTTTACGTTAATTGATATCGAAGATTAATTGATTTTCATTGAAAATTACATTTTTCATACTTCTCGCATTTATAAATATTTTACATTGAAATTTTTAGCTTCGAATATAGATAGACTTTTCGTTAAGAATTTTTACGTTAATTGTTATCAAGGATCAATCGAATTTCATGGAAGATTACATTTTTCATACTTTTCACATTTATAAATATTTTACATTAAAATATTTAGCTTTGAATACAGATAAATTTTACATTAAAAATTTGTACGTTAATCGAATTTCATGGAAGATTACACTTTTCATACTTTTTCAGTTAATATTTTTACCAATTATTTACTCGAAAGGATCGTAAATGTTCGTCTAAATACATCTTAATTCACTCGACTCCTCGGCTTTCTTCCAATTAACAACATTCTTCCATTTTCGAGCGGTGTCATTTAGATAAAATTGCAAACTGCAGATTACTTATTTTTATCACATTCCACGTTTCATTATAAATGCAAGGCTGCGCGTTCTATATTAGCGACTAGTTTATTTTCAGGCGAATGCAAGTTTTTATCGTCTCAACTTCGATCGTTCCACGGATCGAGATTGATGAAAAATTAAAAACCATCGCGAGACGCGAAGATAGGAATCGACATCGTGCAATCGCTGAAACGATTTCTCGACGACGCGTCCGTGGCTTAGACAAGATGAAGATCTCGGACGTTCCCTGATTCTTTCACCGCAAAGGTTATCGAAACATGTTCCTCGGTGAAAAAAATCATCGCCGCGAATCCTTTCGTCGTCCTGCAAAGTCACAACCGCGGCGTTTAGCCACGTGTCGAGCATTGGAAAGTTTTAATCGTAAATAGAAGTAACGGGAACCGAATGTTGCGCCAGATGCACTTCAGGTGTTCCTTAGGTCAATCGAAGAGGGAAAGGGTTGTACATTCGACATTGCACTATATCTGTTGAAATTCTTCGATTCGACAAGTCGATGAAATTTCAGCGGAATTTTACATTTTTCACGCTCTATCTCGAAATAAGAGATATCTATTTGTCTGTAAGTATTTGTATCTTTATCCTGACTCTGGAAATGAATCCTAATTAGCGTAGTTAATTCATGGATAATCAACTGTTTAGAATTTTGATAACACTATCGTTACAATGCTATTATAAGTAGCTGCACTCTTGCTGCAATGTGGGTATAGTTGGTGGAAGCAATGTAGTGAAGTTGTAAGTTGAAGCATTAACCCTTTAATCTGGAACCAAATTTCATTTTTTTTAATTTTGTTATTTGGATAAATTTTGTATAATGGATACTAAGTTAAGATCAATATTTTCATTGGTCTCGAAAGGGTTAAAAGACGAGCTTAAGTTTCTAGGAATCAGTAATATACTTGTTAGTCAAATTTGAGAATGTCAGGAAAATGAAAAATTGTGAAAATTTTGCTTTTATAGCGAGATTGTGTTGAGAGGAAAATTTATAAATTTCAGAATACTTTTTGGTTTTAATATTAAGTCTTGGTTGTTCAGTAATATTATAATTTCCGTATTGGTAAAAATTAATCTGCAGCTTTCAATAATTAAAGCGCAAACAAATTTTTTAAATATAGTGCAATGAAAAACTTAATTCTAATTTGGCCTTGATCAAGGATCGAGCTTCTCATTACTCTCGAATTGCTGTTTTAGAGCTCGAATTACGTGAATTTTGACGCTTGACTAATTTTACGAACTCACTGTATCGATTCCATCGACTATACAATACTCTTCCACATTAAGAACATAAACGAATCCATCGATCAAAGTCCTCTCTAGCTCGAGTTTGACACCGATACTTTGTCCTTTCATTTTCTTTCGTAATTACTTCCCTGTTCTTGCCTCTCTCATGGAACGTTGCTGAAACGCTTCGACTCGCCCCACGCAAATGCCGGAACCGTCCCGGGACGCGTTTGCCCCACCATTGTGGTATAGTCGGTGGAAGCGACGTAGTGAGGTCACAAAATGAGGTCAAAACAGCAATTCCAGGGTGGGAGATGAGATAGATCATGGCCGCTCCATGTCAATTCAGAATTGCTTCATCCATTGCAGTATATTTAAAAAATTTGTCTGTACCTTAATCATTGTCAGATGTAGGTTAATTTTTACCAATACGAAAATTACTGTTGTGCTGAAGGTGACGGAGGCTGAATGCTGTATATCTTCATTGGAAAGATTGTAAGCAGAAATTTTGGATATCAATTTAAAAATGATGGACGGTCCTGGGTGCGGGTACTATGAAGAGATGAGAAGATGGTCAGTGAGATGGCACGGAGGCAAGGGTACTTCACTTGCACCGTCTAAATTTCACGTTTTGCAATTTTAGATGTGGCGATTTGTCGATCTTATCGCGTTGGCCAATAATAGTAATACATGTACCTTATTTTTAGGGTTGTCTTAGAGAAGATGGACTTATGGGGATGTAACCTAATCAGATCTACACTCCTTATGTTAGCTAGCTTCTCATCTTTGCATAGCAGATCAGTCGGTATCGTCGCTTAACCCTAATACTTTCCTCCATTCAACTATACACTTTTAAGGTCATCGGGTCAAAAAAGACCCAATGACCTCATGTGTATATAACAATTTTTGTTACCGGCACGCCATATGAACCTAGATAATAAACTTTTAATAGAACGTTAAGGGAATGTAAACTTGATACCAGAGAAACTCAATTTAAAAAAATTCCTGGTGTCGCCATGTAAAACATCTATTCAAGCCATCGTATGAAACTTTATCCTCCTCTATTTTTCTCAGAAAATCACCCTGTA